CCCCCCCCCACCGAAGTCCGTGTTTCAAATATGTCCATCTCGGAAGGTTAACGTTTTTGAGACATGAAATAACAAAAGAGTTTTTGTCCCCAAATTTAGTATACACAAAAATTGAATGGAACACCTGTTAAATGCTTATATCTGAGTTCAGAAATTTTGATTTATTTAAGTTTGAGCAACACATTTTTTATTGGTAGTAGCCCATGCTTTGAAATATTGTAAGTATTATAACATAATGCATTGGTTTGAGTAAAGAGTAAATGCGATTAGTTAAATATTTATAGCATTTGCTACTATAATTTAGGGTTTTGTAAGGAAATGGAAAATGGTACCTCAGTGAATGAGGAAAACAATTGAAGTCAATAATTCTACATAAGACTGTGTCAATTAGGGTTCTAGAGGAAGCCGACACCAAGAGAGTTGAGTTAGAAGTGAAAGATAAGGGGGAGAGGGAGCAGATAAAGGCAAGGAGAGTCTGCAGGTTGAGATGAGGTGGACACCCGTGGAAGCTGAGAGAGGAAGGGAAAGAGGATGGGGTATGGAGAGTTTCAAATTGATATAACTCTCAGGAAGTCTAAACCAGTCCAATGGTCAGCTTTGATATGATTGACCGAGAAGAGTCCATTGTTGGGCAGACATGGCCAGGCTCTGATTCCCTCATGGCTCTCAGTCATTGATTGAAAGCTTTGTTGACAGAGTGTGGCCTCTACTTCAATACTGCAGCAGATCCGAAGTGCTGTAGCCGGAACTGTCAGCCACCTCTACTCCTCATGGCAAGTACTCTCTTGAAGGGAGATCTGAGCAGTGTACATTCATGGCTGCCACAAAACCCAAGTCTTATTTTTTCAATACTGGGGAGTGCTCCTGCTTACTTGAAGGTGTAATTTGACATTTTCTATACTGATCTCCTTTGGCTTCTGTTTCTTTGACTCTACTCCTATTGTTTTAAGTCTCTAAGCTTCCATTTCATCCTTTTTACCCACACATCAGGTGTACAATATGAGTGATTCTTTTCATGTAGAATTTTGTTTAAATTGAATCAGAAATAAAAGACATCTTGTCAGGATGTGATGGTAAAAAATGCTCCATAAAAATGTGTGATTTTAAAAACTCAAGAGTCTTTCATATTATTCCTCTAGTCTGGCGGCAAGAAGAAGTTACACGCATTAACCAATCTTTCACTGGAGCTGAAAGGAAAGCTGCTTTGTGCGAAATTCTGGAAAAAGAGACTCAGATAATTGCTTCCATTGGGAGACATAGATACATTGCTTATACAGAGAGTCAGGATGCAGCAGTACAAGCTTTTTTGGATAAGGTTAGTGAAGTAACTATTATTTAAATATGAATGTATCCTAAGTTTAAAAATGTGGAATAATGAAGTAAAGGAGATAATTATATTGTGAGAATTTACATGAATTTTGTTTAGCATTTTGATGACACACTTCTTTAAATTCTATATATTTTTTTCTCCTGTTGTAGCTTTAGATTTTAACTGCAGCCTAGAATAAAGATGGACAAATAACATGAAATTAATATATTCTCAACTAAAGGGATTTGGCCACGAAGGAAAAGATGGAGACACCATTCTGGTGACTGTTCATTTAGATTTAGGCTGGCTATGTAAATTAGATGAGTTGCACACTGTGATAAAACGAAGAGTATTAAAGTCACAAAATGTCTGGGTCTGAGGTGCCTCAATAGTAAGCAACATGGGGGAAATAGCTATAGACTCGTGTTTTTGCATTTGCTTACCACATCATTAACTGACTGCAAATTTCAGACCAAAAGAATATACAATTATTGAAAACCATGAAAACATACAATTAAGGGAAAAACCAAAGTAATTACCCTTTTTGTGGTCAAACTGCCTGTTCGATTTTGAATAGCCTGTTTCCATAGTGACCAATTTCCTTTTTTAAACCTGATCTTTCCAAACAATTTAAAGCCAATACAGCAACAGAGGAAAAGGGATGAATTTCTCCAAGCTATTAGCTTGT